TTGTTCATCTTCCCAGCATTCCTTAACTGTATGTTTCAACTCTTTTTTTTTTTAATTTTGCTATTATGTTTAACTTCCCAAGTTTTTGATCTGCCTCATTCTATTTTTATTTCATTTTCTATATTTTATAGATGCAAATTTCTTCTCTTACCTCTTTCCCAGTAAGACATTAATTATAGAATAATTTAAAATGCTATCTCTGATATGAAAAGTTTTGTTGCACAAAAATGGAGATGTACTTAATACTGAGCTACCCACTTAACCCATGATTATGATGGTAAAATTCATGTTTTAACTATACATTTAAAATGTCCTTGACTGGGTGTGGTAGTGCACACTTTTAATTCCAGTACTCAGAAGGCAGAGGCTGGTGAACCTCTGTGAGTTAAAGGCCAGGTCAGCTAGCTAGGGCTATGTAGAGAGGCTCTCTCAAAACAGATAGATAGATAGATAGATCGATAGATAGATATTTGAAAAAAATAAATGAAAAGGCAGAAAATGAAAAAAAAAGAAGAAGAAAGAAAATGTTCTCTACACTTTCTGCATTGTCTATTTTCTCTGTTTGCTTTGGTATTCTGAACACCAGGCTTTCCTGGGGCTCCCATGCCTCCTAACCTCTCTACTCACTCTACTAAGTAGAGATTATTCTACCTGGCAGGTAGAAGATTCTGGAAACTGCACTAGCAATGCTCACAGCTGGGTGTGTCCACTGTTGGATTCTGTGCTGCCGTTCTCTGGGGCATTCTCCAATATGGAAGGTCTTTTCTCTGGACTTATCTCCTGTCCAGGATATAAACTTTGCTGCTTCCTTGGGTTCCTGGAGCAGAGGGAGAACAGGAATTCAGGTGTCACCTAAGTATCCACACAGTCCCTCTCCACAGCCACGCTCTATCCTCATAGAGAGGGCTCTCGCCTCTCTCAAGCAGTCCTCAGGAGAGGAAGCTGCCTCTTCCAGGGAGGATACCTAGCTAGCAGGAAAGGCTGGGCGTGTTGGCTGGGGGTGAGCTGGAGAGTACCACACTAAGGAAGTCTCATGGCTGGATACAGAATTTTCAGCCAGCCTCCTGTTTTTGGGCAAAGCTTCATGGGCACCTAATACTTCCCACCCAGAGACACAGTTCTGGGTACTGCGTGAGAATCAGGAGCTTTACTTGGCTTTGTGGCTGCAGCTTCCTGTGCTCTACGCCCCCACCCCATGTAGTTTCCATCCTCAAAATCTTGACATTGTTTCTCTTCTTTGTAAATGTGTGGTAATTACTTGTGTTATTATGTGTATGTTGGGGGGGGATTGGGTGCAAGCATGCACCCTTACCTGTAGAGTTCAGAGGGTCAGCCTGGGAAAGGCTGTACTCTCCTTCTACCATGCAGGTCTCAGGAATAGAACTCAAGTTGTTAGATTTGGCAGCAAGTGCCTTTGCCCACTGAGACATCTCTGTTTTTTGTTTGTTTTGTTTTAATTACATTTATTTATTGATTTCCCTTCTTAAACCTTCTCTCTGTCCTTGGGAGATGTGGTGATTAATCTTTGTTGTCAACGTGACTGGATTTAGGATCACATGGAAACGCAACCCTATGTATCTATTAGGACGTTTCCACAGTTTTAACTGGGAAGTGAAGGCTTAGTGTGAATGTACCATACATGGGTCCCAGACTGAATAAAAAGGAGGAAGTGAGCCAATGTGACAGCTGCTTCATGTCTTTGGTGTCCTGCCTTTCCCCCCTTCAAGGACTGTCTCATCTCAAACTGTGAGCCAAAACAAACCCTTGCTCCTTGAGGTTCTTCTTGTCAGCTAGTAACACTGCTCAAGCGAAGAGGCTAACACAAGGGTTTGTACCACCCTTCCTCCTCCGCTGGCTTTTGAGAGACTAAAACGTAAGGCAGGCACAAATGGCTCAAGGGGCATACTTTTACTTCCTGTGATGGAATGTGCTAAAGGGACAGTAGCCCACTACATCAGACTGATAAAAGAAATCGCAAGAAAGCACAACCTGAGGTGATGACGGTAAGGCTACTTGTCATGTCCTACTACCATCCCACAAGAAAAGCCAGCCCTACCCTAGGCACCCCACTTTGACCCAAGCAAGGAACCATGTTGGGCTCTGCTTTCTTTGAAGAGGAAAGACGGGAAACAGAAGCAGTTGGGGAAGAGCATACTAGCTCTTTGGACTTGATGTCTTTAGTTTTCTTGTGACCATACCTGGGCCCAGGCTAGCTGCTGACAGAGAGAGGAGGCCTACAGGGCAAAAGGCAGGTGTGAGGCTCTCTTGTTCTGGGGACCAGGAACCTTATCTGTGGTGTCACTCTGGCTCCTGGGATTGCATCCTAAGACAAATGCTTGGGCAGACAGGAGTGGGGTGGAGGGTGTTGCTTCAGAGGGTGGGGGCTGGAGAAGGGACTACAGGAAGATGACCTTGACTGCAGATAGAAGGTGGGCATGTGGGGATGTGTCTTCCTCTTGACTCTATGCCTTTTCAGGGACAATATGTGGGCATATTTCACCTCCCTCTCTGAGCCTGTTTCATTTTCTATGAATGGAACTTATACTTTCCATCTCAAGTACTATTGTGAGGATGAAATGAGGTAATCCTTTGCTTGACAAACTATAGGTACTCAACATTGCTTGTGAACATACTAAGAGTGATGCTAGAGGCCAAAATCTCCCTGTTCTCTCCTACCCCTGGCCACTGTACTTTTTTCCTGAGGGATAGGAGACTACTTAAGAAGGGTGGAGCCTGGGGCACCCATCCCCACAGTGAAGGATGCCCTCGTCCTCTAGATGCCGTGCCCCCAAGGAATTTAGGTTTGAGAGCCCCTATGCCTCTCTGTCTTCAAGACTTTGAACTCTGGAGAGGGTTCTGGGAACCTTGGAGGCATGTAATATTATATCCATTCACAGTTTCCTTTTGCCTTTGCCCTTCCTTCAATTGGGAGAGCAGGTTGAAAGTTAAGATCGGAGCCTCAAGGATCTCTTGTGTCCCATAGAGATCCCAGCCTTTCTAGAGACATGAGTCCGAGAACCAGGAATCCAGAGTCTTGCAGGCATGCAGTTTTTCTCCAGTCCCACACAAACAGGCCTGCTTCCCGTAGCAGAGAACAGACCACACTGTCCCGCCCAGGAAGTGGCAATTCTCCTGTCTGCTGCAACAACAAAGGCATGGGTAGTGGGTGCCACAATTAGGTTGAGAGTGGAGTTCAGAGACCCATAGTCTTTATTAGCTACAGGCTTCACCAGAAAAAAAGGTCTGTGAGAAAAAAAAAAAAAAAAACTCATGAGAATAGGTGTTCAGTTTATTCATTTCCACAAGGTACAGCAACATACCCATGCTATTGGGGTGCCCTTTCCAATACCAACAGTGTCACGCTACTGACACAACATGTTTCAACACGAAATCACAGTGGATCCTGGAGGGCAATTTCAAGGATAAAGATGGGTATGGGGGCAGGTTGCCGTGTTCCCATGACAGCCTATTGTGTTGCCATAGCAACATAGCTCTGCCTCCATCCTGTGTAGTCCTGGTTCCTGTGATGGGCAGAACTCTGTGGTGCTTCAAATCATGAGGGTAAGGAGACCCTACAATCCCCTGGAAAGTTGACTAGGAAAATCCAAGGCTGTCAGCTTAGGCTGAGGCATTTTGTGGGCAGGAGGGTAGATTTCCCGGGGTTTCCTAATGACAAGCTCTCCTTTTTTTTTCTACCCAAATTTGTCCTCCCCAGCTATCGGGCTCCCAGGAGTTGACTGAGATGGGAACCCTGCCATCTTAAAGAGGCTTGAAGGTGCAGTAGTGACGAGGGGTGAAGAACCATTAAGCTCACTGTCACAGACTTGTACTTGATGAGCCAATTATCGTGCAGGTCCTCCAAATGCTACTATGAAGACCAGAAGAAGACGCACACCCATGCTGGGATGGTCCCAAGCAAAGAGCATCCCTGTGAGAGATGGATGCTGTAGATGTCCCTTGCAACTCTATGCTCAAGGGCCAGGAGGTGGGCTCAGGTGATAGTTAATCCTCTGTCAACAGGGCAGTAATTGGCACTATCTTCCAGGTCATTCTGTCCAACTGACTGACTTGGAAATGAAGGGAAGGAACTTAATGGGTCTCTGCCCCCCTCCACTGCAGTTCAAAGTGTGCAGCAAGCTTCCACCAGCAAAGAAGGGAGGTCCCAGAACTAGGAGGGACGCTTGGGAACGTTTTAGAGAAACTTGATCTTGGGCTTGGGAGCAGTGGGCACACCTTTAATTCCAGCACTTGAGCGGTAGAGGCAGTTAGATCTCTGCAAGCCAGCCTGTCTAGCTGCTAGTGAGTTCCAGACCAGCCAGGGCTACATAGTGAAACTGTCTCAAAACAAACAAAAGACTCCATTCTAATAGATAGGTATTTTTAAAAAAGAACAAAACTTGATCTTGCTGGTGTCCAAGTGGCATTCAATTTGGGCACCTCTGCAGGTTTTTAAATTTTCAGCAATTCATTTTTTTAAAATGCAAAGATTTATTTTATTTTTAATTAGTGTATGCGTGTTTGTCTGTCTGTGGGTCTGTACTTGTGTGGGTAGAAGCCCAAGAGGCCAGAAGAGGGCTTTGGGTCTCTTGGAGCTGGAGTTACAGGTGGCTTTGTCCACTGAGTGTTGGGAATCAAACTCGAATCTTCTAGAAGAGCCACAAGTGCTCTTAACAGTCGGGTCATCTCTGCCGCCCCTTAATTTTTTATTTTATGTTTTCAAAGCATTGAGCTGCAACAGACTGGGGAACAGCCGGGGCCTTCCTTAATTATTAGTTTCAAAAGCACCGACTTTGGAACCAGAGGTATCTTGAAATCAGCTAAGAGGCAAGTGAGAGAGAAGAGGACCTGTCCCATCTGCACTGCTCCCAGATGTCAGAGCAGAGCAGAGGAATTGCACGCGGTGAGACAGCAGCATTGCTTTATTGCCACAGTCCAGAAGTACCTTGCCCCAGCCCTGCAAGCTGGCGGGCTAGGGCTGCAATCCACCCCCCTCCCTGTGCTCAGCCCCGCGCTGCTCGTGTTGCCCGCGCTGCCCGCGCCGCCTGCCTCCTGCCATAGCGCAGGCCGAAGGAGTTCCAGTTGTAGGCTGACAGGTCCTTCTCGCGCTGCACCAGCACCGCTCCGCGCGGTGCCGGGATCAGGCGACTGCGAGCAGCGCACACGGGCCGCGGGCGCCCCGCGGAGCTCTCGACAGGTGGGCACGGCGAGGTCCGACGGGCTCTCAGCCCTGCAACCCCAGGTTTCCTCTCTGCGCACCGCGGGCCTTTTTCCCAGGCATTGATGAGTTCCTGGGGTCCGGGCCGCTGACCTAGGACAGAGAACACAGGCAAGTGAGACTGGGGAGACAAGGCTTGCTTTGGACACCAGCTCCGACCTCCCAATGCTGGCTCTGGGTCCTCAACCTCAGAAGCTGGGCTCTGACTTAAGTGTGGAGCCAAAGTGCTGTTTGGTTAGGGTGGTTGGGCTGTTTGCTCCTCCCTCCTTCAGTGGCTTTGCTTTCTAGTTTTTGCCAAAATTCTTCTAAAAACAAAAAACTTTATTAAACTCTCTTTGAAGAAGCAAACAGTTTGAAAATCAAGAAAACCAAAGTATGCAGGGAGATACTCTGCTCTGGTCCTCTTTTTTGGGCTTTGGGCCCCGTACCTCAGTT